ATTACTCTCTTCCCTAAGACATTATTGAGAAACTGCATAGGGGAGCAGGCAAGATCAAGTTTTATATAAATGTAGTGTTCGTTTGTGGGATTAACAGAACTCAAAAACCACTGGACGAATTGACACCATAGTTGGACACAAAACACTTAACAACCCAATGTATGTCCTTCACTAAAAAAATTGATTTTGTCATTTAGGAGTTGTAGTTGCTGGGATTTATAGTTCACCTACAATCAAAGAGCATTCTGAACCCCACCAACGATAGAATTGGGCCAAACCTCCCACACAGAACCTCTATGAGGGCAACAGCAACACATGGCAGGGGACGGCTAGTGTGTGTGATCATAGAATTTGGACAGACAAAGTTTGACAGGTGGGCTGTCACTGCTTAAGTTGACATTATGTAAACTGGCATGAGAGCAGTCTAGGAATATGGGCCCAGAATTTGGATACATCACAGCTAACCAACCAGAGTCAGGCACGGGGTGCTAAAATAGATGTTTCCAGATACATTTTAGGAATTTCGGTCTTCTTTTGCAAGATGCTCATGTGGGTGACTAGTGCCCCATCTACACTGACCGTTTAATGCAGTTCCGAGCTAGCTTCAAACTATGGTGCCTAGACAATAAATTCCTGTGAAAGCACATAAAAGAAAGCCCTTAATGTGCACCAGTGCTCTGCGGTTTGTGTGATCACCTTCTGAAAGCCCTTCTACACAGGCACTAAAACCCAGGAGAAACTGGGATAAAAGAGACTCTCTCTCTCTATCCTCAGTTCCTTCCCAGGTTTTTTGTGATGGAACATCGTATTGCACAAATGCTCTATGTAAGTAGACATAAATAGTGAGACAGAGAGCCCAGAGATAAATGGAGACATTCATTCAGGTATTAAAATCGCCAAATCTACAAAAAACAAACTTTAGAGTTGCTTGCTCTGAGATTTGTCTCCGTGGGGCTTCAGCAGTGGTCCTGAAACCTGGTGACACTAAATAATGTTTTATGCAAAAAAAGTGTTGCTATCCACCATTTTATTTCTCTTTCAGAACATTTTAGGCTCCAATGCAGCATTGGTCCAAGGCAAAAGTACTACAGATTTCAAGAGGCATTGTGAGGGAATTTAACTAGCCCGTTCTATCAATTGCCACTAACTCTCTATTATTATTCAAAGTGGGGGAGGGTCAACCATTTATTACTAGAAAGACCTCTGGATCATGGTGGCTATAGCTCAGGCATGGACAAACCTTTTTGCGTTTGGGCCGCATTGCAGGCAGGGCTGGGAGGGTTGCACAGGGGGGCCTTTCGTGCACTGGGTGGGACATGCCCACAAGGGATAGGGTCCAGGAGAAGGCAGGGACAGAACAGGGCCTGGATCATCCTCAGGATGTCCTTCTAGCATAAGGACAGGGCTGCTTGCCCCATCCTTATGCCAGGAGGAAGGTGGGACACGTGGCGACTGCCCCCAATCCTCCTCTTCTGATCCTCAGGCTGTCCTCTTGGCATTATGCCAGGTGGAGGGCAAGACAGGTGACAGCTGAGAGTTCTCCAGAGGGCTCTCAGCCACCATGTGCCTTCCTTCAGCTGTCCTCCTGGCATTAGGATGGGGCTGCTCACACCGTCCTTATTCCAGGAGGAGGGCGAGACACATGGTGGCTGAGAGGGCTCTCAGCTGCTGCATGCCTTCCTCCCCTCTCTCTTTGGTTTAAGGACACGATGGACCACCGTGTCCTTATGCCAAGAGGACAGGGAAAGTGAGGAGGGTCTGAGGTAAGCACCCAGGGGGCCACATATGGTCCCCTGGTCTTAGTTTGCCCATGTCTGCCCATCGGAATAAAAAGGATACTTAGGTTGCAAAAAAGATAGTTAACCTCCAGTTGGCCCCAAGAGCCCAAAGGAATAGAGATGTGCTTTTCAGATTAAAGCCCACTTCCCTTGCTTGAAAGTATGGCTTACTTTAAATAGATGCTATTAGAGCTTCAAGAAAAAGTAACAATAAATGTTTACCACAGGTTATAAAATGTGTTTACGCTCCCACTTTGGCACTACGTGTTTTAAAAATGTGAAATCTTCAGAACAAGACCACCAATTTCCTTTGGGCAATGTCTTTTCCGGAACCAGATGATAACAGTTATGACAAAAAAATGGTAACTTTGTGAAGGATGTACAACCATAATGGCCCCCAAGGACGTTATTTGTATACATATTTCAAGGCAGGACCTGGACTGTGCTTTTTGTGGGTGACCGCATACTTTTCTTGGGAATTACATGACATAATAAAAATGCATCTTCTGTAAATGCTGAGATGTAGCATTTTATTTAGTTTACAGGAATGTTTGGGAAGCAGAAATGGAGCATTAAATTCTAGGGTTTTAGAATATATAATCAGTAGACCATTGCCTCTTGGCCAGAATTTTCTATCATGAGGTAAATTACATAATGTTACATACTCTTCGCTACAGAGCAGAGGCACTAAGAAACCCTGGTAGTGAAATGTGAAGATGTGTAATGGGACATTGGCAAGAGTGTCCCAATATAAATTGGCACTTGCCAGGTCCCTTCCACACAACCATATAACCAAGAATATCAAGGCAGAAAATCCCACAATATTTGATGGTTATTTTACTTGTGATATTTGTCTTTACTGTTCCAATGTAGCACAAATCTTTAGGAACCCTTAGTATACTAACCAAATTCAATATGGTTGTTGAGACAGTTTTAACTAGAGGATTTTAATGTCAAAACAAGGGATTTTAATGCTTTTGTATGTGTATGGTCTAGTTTGTTTCGGCATTGAATGTTTGGCATTTATATGTTGTGCTCCATCCTGAGTCCCCTTCGGGGTGAGAAGGGCGGAATATAAATGCTTTAAATAAATAAATAAACCCTATCTAAAATCATCCTAAGTATTTTTGACATTAATATTGAAAGCTGAAATATATACAGAAAGTCTTTACTTTTTGGGTTATCTGAGTCCACACTGCCATATATTCCATTTCAAAGCAGATAATGTGCTATTCAGCTGTATGGAAGGGACCCAGTGTACAATGGGACTCACGAATATTGGTCACCCTGTGCCACCCTATGCCAGGGAGCTCTTGGTAGCAAAGCGGCTTAAACCATTGAGCTGCTGAACTTCCTAATCAAGAGGTCAGCAATTCGAATCGGGAGCAGGGTGACCCAGCTTCTGCCAACCTAGCAGTATAAAAACATGCAAATGTGAATAGATCAATAGGTACTGCTCCGACGGGAAGGTAATGGTGCTCTGTGCAGTCATGCTGGCCACATGACCTTGGAGGTGTCTATGAACAACAGTGGCTCTTCGGCTTAGAAATGGAGATGAACACCCCCCTTCCCCAGAGTCAGACACAACTAGACTTAATATCAAAGAGAAACCTTTACTTTTATGCTAGACATGGGCAAACTTCGACCCTTCAGGTGTTTTGGACTTCAACTCCCAGAAATCACAGCCAGTTTACCATCTGTTTGAAATTGTGGGAGTTGAGGTCCAAAACACTTGGAGGGCCTAGGTTTGTCCATTCCTGCTCTATGGATTAGTCATTTTGCTGGCAGCCCTATGTAGCAGCCCTTTACTCAATATGGACATTATAGAACTGCCCAAGTTTAATTCCCACAGATGTAAATCCACTTATGAAAATGTAAATCCCCAATAGACTTCTGCCAATGTAAGCAATTGGCATATGACAGCAGATTCAGTTGTAACAGGGGACTAACATTTCAAGATAGAAGAGACAGGAGAAGTCACCAAAATAGTTTTGTATAGTTCTGAAAATCGGTTATAATTATGAAAAAGTCAATTTGAATGAGATAACCATATGTAATATAACATTCAGCCAGCAAGAAATCAATATAATGAATTAGGAAACAACACTCTGTTTATCTCCGCATTTCAGGTAAAGTGGGAAAACCCACTCTTAAACTATCTCAGTAGTAAAGTTGCCTTAGGAAATGATCTTTAATCCTTATCACATTTCTATTTCTTCCCCTCCTTTACCTATTTATGTTTGCTCTCTCTCTCTCTTCTTGGTCATTCCAAGTGATGAAGTTGGGATCTAACAGCAATAAGCAAATCTGCCTGCACAAGAACCCTATGCTGTCTGACCATCAAGATGACAATGAGTGTGAACTTTGATTCTCGTGTATTACCACAGTTTAGACAGTGTTAAAGCAAGTTTAGACAGTGTTAAAGTATTGAAGAGGAGAGTGTTGGAGTTCACAAGATCAGTGGCTACATTATATTCCAGTCATTATTCTGTGGTTACTACGTACAGTCTGCCTCAAGGAGCTGTTTTGAGGGTGGCCTTCCCAATCATATGTTACAAAAACCTTTATTTTTATAGACTTTTGGGTTTTTCGAGATGATCTTTGACACCTTCTTCCTGTGCTTGAATGACACTGCTCGCGTTGCATAGGAATGACTAGTCCGAAAACTGAGACATATTTTAGTAGAACACGTTCCTGTTTCTTATCATCCTCATTCCTCAGGCAGAAAGGAAATTAGCCCTAACTGCTCTTCCTGTATCTTTCACAGCACATGGCAAAGGTTTTGGAAAGCTGGGAGATTTGACAGCAGCTAGAAATAAATCTCACTAGTAAAGCTAAGCTACATTTGAGAATCTCTGATAATAAGTGACATTTGGATGTGCGCCAGGTTTTCTGACCATAATCCAAACCTTTGGAAGCCTTCTTTGCATCACCCAGGCTTCGTGATGGATACACAAATCCTCACTTTAGTGCAAATGTTGTTGTCAAGTCCTATTCTTAAGATATATTTAATAATTGTGACTCACAGTGTGTGATGAGGAGCAGCAAATGGGCACTCCAAAGATAGCCTTAAACATATACATAGTCAAAACTGGTAAGCTGACAGGTCTGGAAGCGTTTCATATTTGAAGCTTTTAACATGCAAATCAAAAGGTAGCATTTCAAAGTTCTTTCAACTGAATGGCTTGTTGCATGTTTCTTTCACTTTATTGTTTTGCATAGGACATTATCCAAAGCTGGTCTTTCATTTTGAACTCAAGAGGAATATCCTGTATTTTATCCTTGAGACATATGTACCATCCAGCTTACTGGTTGTTCTGTCCTGGGTGTCATTCTGGATAAGCCAGTCATCAGTGCCAGCCAGAATCTGCATAGGTGAGTAAGAAAAATGACAAATGCCCATCTATAGATCACCTTAGATCATATTTCTGTTCCCTATTAGATGGATCCATTAAGCCAATTGGAACGAAGCAATTGGATCCCCAGCTATGTCACATGTGTCTTTTATTTTTTATTTATCATGTCAGAAGTAAATTGAGAATATGGTTATAATGTATAAATAAACCATAAACAAAGTAAAAAACTTGGCATTATACTAAATTTCCTTTGACCAGAAGCTGGCCACTCAAGTGCCTCAGGTGTCACTGTAAGAAGGTCCTCCATTATGCATGTGGCAGGGCTCAGATTGCATTGTAGTAAGTGGTCTGTGGTTTGCTCTTTTCCACACTCACATGTCATGGACTTCACTTTGTAGCTTCATTTCTAAAGGTTAGCTCTACATCTCGTGGTCCAAGCGTGCAGTCTATTCAGTGCCTTCCAAGTCACCCAGTCTTCTGTGTGCCTGAGAGGAGTTTCTCATCTGGTACCAGCCACTGATTGAGGTTCTGGGTTTTAGCCTGCCACTTTTGGACTCTCGCTTGCTGGGGTGTTCCTGTGAGAATCTCTGTAGATCTTAGGAAGCTATTTCTTGATATAAGGCACTGACTTGCTGGCTGATATCCGAACAGAGGGTGGGCTGAAGATGTCAATGCCCTGGTCCTTTCATTGCTGGCTGCTACTTTCCAACGGATGTCAGGTGGTGCAATACTGGCTAAACAGCATAATTTCTCCAGCAGTGTCAAGCATGGAGATCCTGTGATAATGTGGCATTTTCCTGTTGATGTCTATTGATGTACAGTGTTTCTATACTGTCCATCTTGTGGATGGTACATAGGAAAATAAATAAAATTGTGAAATTGAAATAATAATATGAAAGGAACATAACATTGGAAACAAGATAAAATAGTATCAGAAATAGGTATAGCAGCAGAATCATAGAATATTAGAGTGGGAAGAAACCAAAAGAGGTATAACTGTTCAACTCCCTGCCATGCAGGAATATGCCATCAGCAATACACAGCAGTGCCCAAGTACTAATGGATGTTAAAAAAATTAAAACACTGAAGCAAATAAAAAAAATCAGACACTCAAGTGACCACAGTGTAGGCACCACCCTGAATACACTGGATCTTGCCTGATTTTGGAAGCTATGGAGAGTGAGACCTGGTTTGGATGGAAGACCACCTCAAATACTAAGAGGATCTCAGGAAAGAATCCAACCTGAAATCCTAGAGAGTCATTGCAGGTCATAGTGGATAATACTGAATTAGATGTTTCCAAAATATAAATGGGCTCCTGTGTTCCTGATGAACTTTTCTGGGGGTGCCATTTCTCAGCTAGATCACCATCACTGAAAAGTTCCTCTCATCCAAGTGGCAATCTGGCTCAGTTCATTTGTCAAGGAGAGCAAGATGTGTGATGATGCCCAATAGTTAATACTAGGCTTTGAAAGTTAATATTACTATTTTGAACTGGACTTGGAAATATCATCCCATGTAGAGAGTGCTGGCGTGGTTTATAACACTGACTATGTCTCATCTTTTTTGCCTTCCAAGATGGGGGAGAGAGCCTAATCAATTTGATAAACTAGTATAAGAAAGGAGTCATCATCTTGCATTTGATCTTTTAATTATCATTTTCCTGGTAGAGCATTGAATATGTATAATTTTAGAGTTAATTGGTACTTTTTGAGTTGCCCTGAAAAATGTTCTAATGAGGTGACAGGTATTTCTCCTTCATTCATGGACTTGCAGTCCTTTCTAATTTCTTAGAAGACAATTTTTCAGGCCACTTACCCATTGCCTGTCTTATAGGAAGCCTGATAGAAGCAGAACCTCTGGTTTCTAAAAACACAGAACAGACTATTTTTATTGTTATCAACAATAACATTCAGTAAGAATCTGGAGCATGGCCTCTCATTTATGGTCCCTACTATTGAAAGCTGCTGATTTCCATGTCATTTTCCTCAAAGGCAGTGGTTCTCAATCTTCCTAATGCCACGACCCTTTAATACAGTGGCTCATGTTGTGGTGACCCCCAACCATAAATACTAATCAAGATGGCCAATTAAAACATTCACAACAAGCTCCAACAGACAAGAGTTCTTCCTCCCACTCTGGGAAGCAAAGGGGGCAAGAAAAAGTTAGCAGTGTCTCCGTTCCTAAGAACATCGGAAATAATGTGTTTTCTGATGGTCTTAGGTGACCCCTGTGAAAGGGTCGTTCGACCCCCAAAGGGGTTGTCGCTCACAGGTTGAGAACCACTGCTCTAAGCTTTAAAGAAGATTTCTAAGGTTCTATCTTTTATTTATTTGGGGAATGGAGTTCAGCACTTTCTGAAGTTTCTCAAAAGTTCATGCCAAAACTTCAGCAGCACTACTAAATCGCATGCAATGAAAAACTCAGAAAGACGGCAAACAAGAATAACCTAACAAACAGACCAATTTGGTGAGAGAAGTAGATGAAGGTTATCATGTAGCTGCTGTCAAGAATTCCCAGGACACTCACATCTGTGCATCAGACTCACAGGATCAGGCCAATACTAACAGTGCCAAGAAAAAAAAACCTCATTAAAATGAAGCATCTTCCTTCTTTGTAGGTTTTTGCCCCCTAGTGAAGCAGCAATACTGTGAGGTTGAGCCTCACTGGCTGCCCAATTATGAAATGTACAGCCTTGCAGAAATCTTGGTGCGCATAACTTGCCTGGATAAGTCTTTCATATCTTCCCAAGAAGCACTAGCCTTGGGAATCATTGGCAGGCATTACCATTCATCCCAAAAAGAAGGAAATCTGTAATATTGTGACCATGTTTTTCTTGTCTGCCTTTTGCCCCTGTAGTGGGGTGAAATGTATAAGACTGATTTGGAGGGCCCAAATCAGTCTTATACAGGCCAGGAACATTCCAATTCCTGAGATTTGGGGCAAATAAAACTGACCCTAAGGAAAAAGTAGTTATGAGGTCACAAAGACATTTATGGTGTTTAGCAGTTGAGGCAAGCAAGAATTTATTTTGCAGGAGGGGTGGCATAATGGAGCTTTTTCTGAGATAGCTGAAGATCTGTCTCCAGGCTTTTGATACTTCAGATAGTGCCATGAAATCTGGCAACTCTGATTAGGTGACTGCTGTAGGTTGGCGGTATATCACCACAAACTAGGATTTGGATGCTGTTGAGTCCTGGGACTATTTCAAATGGCCAGTTAGGAAACAGTTGCTACCTAAAGACTTCAGAAAATGCAACGTTGGATCTAACATTAGGTAGAGTGGGGCAGTCACCTTAGGAAGCTGATTGTGGAGGTTGCAAGTTGCAGAGAAGAGATGTTCTTAAACACCATAATATGAGCCATCTATGCCACCTTGCTGCCCCTACTTACATTTCAACCAGTGTTGAATATGATTAATTGGCCAATCTGCCTAGTTGGTTGATACTTCAAAACCTCATGAAGCATCTCAGGGCACTTCTACACTGCCCTATATCCTAGGATCTGATCCCAGGTTGTCTGCTTATCCCAGATTATATGGCAGTAGAGACTCATATACTCTAGTACCAAGCAGATAAACTGGGATCAGATCCTGGGATATAGGGTAATTTATCTATTTATTTACATCATTTCTATTCCGCCCATATCAGCCCGAAGGCAACAATTAAATGCCATATATAAAATACATACATTGATAAAAACAGCAAACATCATTATACATTTAAAAAACCATAAAAAGCAATAAATAATAAAATTATAAGAACTATGTCTTCTTGTTTAAATCCTCAGCCGTTCCATTGTCATTGCCGTTCCATGTTCATTTGCAATTTTAGTTCTCTGATCATGCTGTGGGTTCCAAACGCTTGCTTGAAGAGCCAAGTTTTCACTCCTTTTCGAAAGGTCAGGAGGGAGGATCTAATATCCCTAGGCAGGGAGTTCCACAGCCAAGGGGCAACCACCGAGAAGGCCCTGTCTCTTATCCCCACCTTGTGAAGCAGGCAAGATCGAGAGCAGGGCCTCCTCAGACGATCTCAAGTTCCTAGAGGGTTCATAGGGAGAGATGCATTTGGATAGATAAGCTGGGCTGGATCAAAGGAAGCAATGTTGGCAATCTATCATGATTATCCATAGTTTTTTCTCTCCCACTCAGTCTTTCTCTCTCTTTTTGTAGGTGTTACAACTGTACTCACCATGACAACTCTTATGATGGGAGCCAGGACATCACTTCCTAATGCTAATTGCTTCATTAAGGCAATTGATGTCTACCTGGGCATTTGCTTTAGTTTCATCTTTGGCGCTTTATTGGAGTATGCTGTGGCTCACTTCTGTACCCTTAATAGAGCTGGTATGAAAAAACTGACAAAGGTATTTGCCTCTCTCTGAACCCTTCTCCCCTTTGTTTTGTGTACTGTGATTCATCTGTGTGCACCAGCATTACCAGTCTACAGCAGTATTAGTTCATAAAGTCTCAGGGTGCATCTGCACTGTAGAAATAATGCAGTTTGACCCCATTTTAACTGCCATGACTCAGTGCTGTGAAATTCTGCAATTTGTAGTTAGATGAGGCACTAGCACTCTTTGGCAGTTCACCAAATCTATTGCAGAGGTTATATATTTCTGTAAACTAACACATAGAGTTGATAAATGCTGTGAAGCCATGACTAGCCACAGCTCTCCATGGTGTCTTTACAGACATAGATCTGCCTTGTTGGCATTGTAGACGATCACTGATAGATTGTAGCTGACAAGTTAAATTTCTATGGGCCATGAGAGGCCTGAATATGCACTGTTCTGCTACAGGTTATGGATTTAATGGCATTTGTCGCAGTATGATATAATAAGCACTTTAGCAGCGGTGTGAAACATTAAACAGTCTGAAATGTTCTCCTGCCTTTGAGTTGTGTCTTGTAATTATCCCAGATAAAAGATGGAAGTTTAAAAAGTAGAAAAATGAAATAGTTACCATTATTCAGTTTGAAAGATATCAAATCCTCATATTTAAGAGCCTCGATCTAAGAAAAACATACCTTGAATTGTTCAAAAAATGTTATTCATCCCCAAGGGCCTATAAATGATCTGCCACTGGCAGCTCAATGATATGTTCACTTTGGAACATATCATCCTTTCGATTAAGATTGATTGATTGATCGAGAAACAGAGAGATAGACACATGCATACATGCAGAAATACACTGAAAGGGTGTCATGTTAAAAAGTGAATCACCATGGTCATTATTATTTCCAGGAACCTTTCTGGACTTCATAGGCTTCAGGTATTTATCTTAGAAAACAAAATTGCAGTATGCTCTTGGTATCTGCTGAGGTTTGGTTCCAGAATCCTTTTGGTGACCAAAATCCATGGGTGTTCAAATCCTGTTATATACAATGGTGTCCTGTCCCTTATAAATAATAATAATAATAACAACAACAACAACAACAACAACAACAACAACAACAACAACTGTATTTATATACTGCACTATCTCCCCTAGGGGACTCAGGGCGATTTCCATGTAGGCAAAATACACAAAAAAAAACAACAACATATAGAGTAAGCAAAACACAGGCATAGAATTTTCGACACACACCTATACATTAAAAAGACCAATCCCACACTATTATTTCATGCAAAATAAACTGTTAGGGCCAGAGCTTTGGAATGGGCCTAGGCAATTTAAGAGGGCTGGACCAAGGCTAGTGTAGAGCAAGACATGGCAGGGGAATGAGTAAAGTGCAATGACTGGTCCCTTTCACATAATCCCTGTTTGTTCCTTGTATTGCTTACTGCCCAAAGTCTTGGTCCCACAGCCATGTTTTTACTTTTTTTCTGAAGGCCAAGAGGGAGGGAGCTGATCTAGTTGCATTGGGGAGGGAGTTCCCTGTCTCTCGTCCCCACCAATTGCACCTGCGAAGAAGATGGGACCGAGAGCAGGGCCTCCTCAGACAATCTTAACTTCTGAGATGATTAATAGAGGGAGATAGGTTTGGACAGGTAAGCTGGGCTGGAAGGAAAAGGGGTGGTCCTTCAGTCCCAGGTCTAAATCCATGGCCCTTATGGAGGGGAGCCCAACACTATCAGTCCACTTTTTTTGTCGTGTCAGGAGTGACTTGAGAAACTGCAAGTCGCTTCTGGTGTGAGAGAATTGGCCATCTGCAAGGACGTTGCCCAGGGGACGCCCGGATGATTTGATGTTTTTATCATCCTTGTGGGAGGCTTCTCTCATGTCCCTGCATGAGGAGCTGGAGCTGATAGAGGGAGCTCATCCGCCTCTCCTCCGGATTCGAACCTGCGACCTGTCGGTCTTCAGTCCTGCCGGCACAGGAGTTTAACCCACTGTGCCACTGGGGGCTCCTCTCAGTCCACTGAACCAACCCCACAAGAGTCTCAACTCCCACACATACATGTACACACTCACATGTATGTCAAAATCATGGTTGGCTTTTTGTTTTGTGTGTGTGTGAATATTTTCAAGCCATAGATGGTTCAATCTGTGGATGCGGAATCTTTGACTGCACCCCAGTCACTGTTTTGTTACCACACATGTGGTAACTTTTGAGGTTGTGCATGCACATGTGTGTGAAAGAGAGAGAAAGACAGAGAGAGTGGTCACCTGTGTGTTCTATCTGCGCAGAAATCCCATGAAAACCTACTAAGTGGCCTTGGGCAAGTCATACAATCTCAAAGTTCAAAGGAAGGCGAATGCAACTCCCCCACAACCAATTTGGTCAAGAAAACTCCATGATAGGTTCTCCCTTGAGCTACTGCAGCATGTCATTTCAGAAATATATGTAACCTGTCTTCTGGATGTATTATAAAGTGACAGGAAAAATGAAATGGAAAAGGGGACAGATATTACAGAAGACATATCCAACGCATAGTCAGGTCACGTTGTTTCCTGCTGTTTCTGTATAGCATATCAGGATGCCTTGACAAATATATTTAGAAATGGATTCATAGAAAAATTCCTAGGCTTCCAAAATCTTATGGCACTCTGTAAGAGGAAGTACGGAGTGTCTTGAAAATCTATAGCTTTCCATGAGAAGAACATCTTTTCTCCATCCCGCGGGCTGTTGGATTTGAACAAGTGCATCCATTAATAGAAGCAGGAAGCAGCAGCAGATGCCATTTTCCAGTAGGTTTCAGCTGTCATACAGTTACTATCCATAGACTGTGCTTCTGACTTTTATATCCCTTTGATATTACCATCTGCTTACGATTCTCGATTTGAGACTAGAAACGAGGAGTAAAACGAATAGTATTACTATTTATTAAAGAAATATACTTGATAGGCAATATTGATTTCCAGAATCTTAAAGTTAATATTCTTCTTTCAAAGCTCTCAATAGTCCTCTAAATGACACTAAACATTTCCAGGTTTTTCCCCCCTTCTCTTTATTGAGGCAATGGAATAAGTAATCTCGTGCTGAAAACAACTCTTAGAGATCCCTTGGAGAAGAAAAAAATTGTAACCTACCATTGATAGGCTGGTATATACCATTCCAGATGCTTTATTTTTCCACACATCATTTAGCTTCCTCACAGGGAACATAAAGAAGCTAAAAGCAATCTGATAAAGCATCAGCCACCTGCAAATAACTTTCAGAAACTTGCAGAAAACAATAAATAATATGTGTACAACATTCTTTCCTGCTGTGCAATAAACCTGCTGCTTGGTATAAATTTCCCCATTAGAAACAGAAATGTAACTGAAAATGCACTCTTGTCTCTTGTTTTTTTTAAGCGTATAAATGGTAAGGTAGACTATTTCACTTTTATAATGAAGGAGACATTTGAAATGGTTAAGGTTCTTTTCTCAACGTTCATATTTTCTTAGCCACCAGGTGTACTTTATACACTGTAATCATTGTACTCTGATAGATATTAAGTGGATGTAATTTGCTTTTCACAGTCTTTCATGTTAAAAAAAAAACAGTAAAGTGAAAAAATTAGTTATCAAACTGTCATTCTAGCACTCAGATCCTGGATATATTTTCAGTGAACGAGGTTTTCCATATCTTTCTATAATGGGTAGAACATTGTTACATGTGAGATAGAAATAGAAAGAGCATATCTATAAAGTAGGAATGGGTACATATGTGGCCCTCTAGATCAGGGGTCCTCAGACTTTTTAAATAGAGGGTCAGGTCACAGTCCCTCAGACTGTTGGAGGGCCGGATTATAATTTGAAAAAAAAAATGAATGAATTCCTGTGTACTTTCAAGTCATTTCAGACTTAGGTTGACCCTGAGCGAGGGCCAGGTAAATGACCTTGGAGGGCCGTATCCAGCTCCCGGGCCATAGTTTGAGGACCCCTGCTCTAGATGTTGTAGTGCACGCCTTACACTGTCTTATCATTAGTTATGAAGGCAAGGACTGCTAGAAACTGCAGTCCAGCAACACCTGGAGGACATTTATCCACCCTTGATAAATAGGAAGGCACATAGATCAACTATCCCCACAGAGTTATGGGGAGACACAAGACACCAGCATTAGGTGTGTGGAAGAAAATACCCAGCTTATCTGGATTTAATATCCATGCAATTTATTGGTAAGCACTGGTTTTCATCCCACCAACTGCTTTACCTTTCCATGCTGGTGGAATTATGTGCTTTTATAAGGCAAGAGGGTACTCTGATGGCAGCAATGCTGTTGGTAGGGTCCTACATCATATTATTAAACAGAATGTGGATGGCAGTAAAATATTCAGAAGAGCACTGAGAATTGGAAGGACAGGTGTGAAGGAACTAGACAAGGCCCTGAAGTGTCATACACTGTAGATCAGTGGTTCCCAACCTGTGGTCCACAGAACACCAGTGGTCTGCAAGAACTAAAATATGGTCCGCGGCCTCACTGTTAACTACTACAGAAAATAACAGAGCCTAACCAAAAAAACATTTTCTTGGTGTCTTCATTTTTAGGCCTGTTCCTGGGGTTATTTGGGGTGTTGATTCAGAAAATTGCATTGGATAGACCACATCAAGTCTAGATTATTAAATATGGTTTTCTGTGGGCGAGCAGATGGCGGACTACTGGATGGCATATGTTTTGTATCAGAAACTAGAGCTGATGTGGTCTATCCAATGCAATTTTCTGAATCACCAACCCAAATAACCAAACCAAATCTAAAGTTGACCAAAAACTGATTTGTAACCCTTTTGGTACTAACGTTGGAGAGTAGTCCCTTGTCAAGTGGTCCCTGGTCAAAAAAAGGTTGGGAATCACTGCTGTATATACTCACTTATATAGCAGAAAATCAACCCCAAAAACTTGGGTTGACTTATTCACAGGTCAATGGAAATACTGTACCTTAGCTCATATCAATAAAGGAACCATCTCTTTCTCTTAGTAGATAGGAGAATGGAAAGAGTTTAGTCCATCCTGGGAGAACTTTAAAGAAGCATGAACTCTTCTACTTTCATTGCTACTGTGCTGCTTCTGACCTTTTCAAATGGCTAGTTGGCAAAATGGTGATGATTCCTTGGAACTTCCTCTAAAAAAAAAACAAACAAAAAAAAAACAAAAAAAAAACCCACCAAGAGAGTAGATGAGGTTGGTGCTTCCTTTAAGTTCTTCTGGAACAGACTACACTCTTGCCTTTCACCACTCTACTCCAAGAACAGGATTGTTCCTATTGTGATAAGTATTAACTTATATCAAAAAATGAACTGTCCCCTTCTCTGAGTTGAGTGGCAAAAAGCTTTTTTGAATGCCTAGGTGGGGAAATGAGAGTAGTGGTCAGACTTGGCTGGGTCCCTAAAGTCATGCTTTCACTTCCCTTTCCATGGAATGACCCTTGGCTCATCCATGAGCCATATCCAAATCCATAATTTTAACCTCAAAACCTGCCCTTGATTTATACATGAAGTTGAGTTATCCATGAATATATATGGTAATTGAATACTAAACGTAAGCTTGTAGATTCCATCATTTACCATTTCTATGCTAGATTATGTAAGTTGGAAAGTGAAGAAAGCTCATAAAATCAATGCATTTGCTTGGGTGATGCTGGAGAAGAGTTCTACAGATACCGTGGACTGCTAAAAACACAAAGAAGTGGGTCCTAAAGCAAATGCAGCTTGAACTCTCTCTAGAAGTCAAGATGACTGCAGTGAGACTGACGTACTTTGGATAGATCATGCGAAAGCATGATTCATTCAAACAGACAATAATGCTTATTAAAGTAGAAGGCAGTAGGAAAAGAGGAAGATCACATTACAGATGGATAGATTCAATCAAGGAAGCCATGGGCTGGGTTTGCAAGAGTTGAGCATGGCTTTGAGGCCAGGGGTGACTTGGAGATCTCTCATTCATAGGGTCATCATAAGTCAACCTTGACTTCACAGTATTTTAATATATACTATTAACAGCCTAGATTACATACTACTGCATCTAAGTACAAAGAAATTTGAAATTGTAATAAATTGGCCTGAGATCAACAAATACTGACAGAATCAGAATATTGGACTGTGGGGTTGATCCCTTCATTGTAATTTTCTAAAAGAAGGTGTTAAGATTCTAAGTATCCAGGGTTCCAATGCAAAAATAGAATACTGGTGTTCTATATGATACCCCATCATTTTGGTTTAATGTAATTTCTTAGTTTAGATGGAAATAGAGATGCAGACAGGCCTGCACGTTAAAAAATGATCTCTAGAGAGTAAAATGTTGGATCTCATACTTGTTTTCCCATGTTCAAATTAACGATCAAGTGTGATCAAATACTTGAGTGCTCTGGATGATGGCTGCTGTGAAATATGAACAGCAACTCCCCAGTCATTCCACAGATATATAAACCCATTTTCCTAATTCCAACAGACTTCACTACCTCTGAGGATGCTTGCCATAGATGCAGGCGAAACGTCAGGAGAAATGCCTCTAGAACATGGCCCTATAGCCCGAAAAAACCCACAAGAACCTAGGGTTTCTAGTAGGCATGTGCAATCCATGGCTCTAAATCAGTGGTTCTCAACCTGTGGGTCCCCAGGTGTTTTGGCCTAGAAATCCCAGCCAGTTTACCAGCTGTTAGGATTTCTGGGAGTTGAAGACCAAAAACATCTGGGGACCCCAGGTTGAGAACCACTGTTCTAAATGGTTCTAAAGTACTTACAAAACTAAAATTCTGGTGGTGAAAACTAGGGGACACTGGTGCTTTGCTTTTACGGGGTTGCTAAAGTTCTGGTGATGAAAATTTCAGAACTCTAACAAAACTTTCAAAATTTCATTATTATTTCATTATTGATGATTTTTATGACAGAACCAATTAGGAACTGCCATTTATAATGAAATTTTGAAAGCTTTGTTAGAGTTCTGAAATTTTCACCACCAGAACTTTAGCAACACTGTAGAAGCAAAGCACCTGCGCTCCCTAGTTTTCACCACCAGAACTTTAGTTTTGTAAGTACTTTAGAACAATGGATTGCACATGCCTAGTTTCTAGTTTGGTGAGGCACAATCACCCTTTGACAGTTTTTTTAGACTTTGTAAAACTACAATTCCCAGGATTACGTAGCATTGTAATACAGTTTCAAACTGCATTATCTTTGCAATACAGAGGCATCCTGAGTTAGGAAGAAATTTCTGGGATGGTTCATGTCACAGAGAACATACTAACTTGATATGAAGCAAGATGTGGAAATATGTACTGCAAATTGGCATGTTTTTTCTTGCAGATTGTATGACCTCATATAGATTTCAGCAGACAAAACTATGAGCCTAGGTGTTTTACCTGTGCTTTTTGCTTAATGGCAGTTGAGAATTTGAATCACATCCGATTATTATGTGTGGGGAACGGGCCATTCTTCTTTGGCGGTGCAACTCTTCCTTCCCATTGTGTAAAGATAGCCAAATGGATAAATGTAAGGATTTATAGTGTGTGTTGGAATGTATTGAAATCTAACTGCTGTTCTTACCAGGAGGAAGATCAAGAGGCTGAGGAAGAGATCAATGGCGTCCTGTCTGCGATTGCCAACAGTTGCAAGGCTGAAAAGCTGAACAGAGCTGATTCAGACAAGCTCACCAAAACCTCCAGCGGTAAAAAAGAAGAGAAAAGGAGACACAGCAGGTGTCATTCACCAATGACCGTGATGAAAAGACTGTTCTGTATATTTGACTGCTTCCATGTTAAAAACCCATACCACATAGACAATTATGCCCGGCTTTCGTTCCCCTTATCATTTATCATAGTAAATGTTTTTTACTGGGTGTATTACTTGTATTTTTAAGTGTTTACTATTTCTCATGAAAGGGGCACCAACTTGTGTCAGAGAAAAGCACTGCACTGCATTTGGATGTCAAAAGGAGCTTGTCATTTTATTGAGTAGTATTTATGTTGTTTCTGAGTAAATTACACCTGTTAAACGACCATAGTGCAAAACCTGTTGTTTGTTCAACAGCTTTTTTTAAGGACCTCATTTTTAGCATGCTTGCTATTATTGTTTGTAATATTGACTGAATGGCAGAACACTTTTTCAAAACTTACTTGTAAAACTTTGTTAAATGATGCTTACATAACACTACTTTGGGCTGTGATAAATATCTTGAAAAATGAGACTAGGAAAGTTTTATTCTCAATTGCCCTCTCCCACCCCACAAATAAGATTCCATACCGTATTCCCTTTGGCATTGCACAGGCATTCGGGGATATTATGTAAGAAAACTATCAGTGCCAATCAACCTTTTTTGCTAAAAAGGAAAAAAAAATGCACTACTTCAAAGACTGAGCCGATATGCAACTGACGGGACACAAAATTACTTGCAAGTAGACTTGTGTGCGGAATTCGTTTCTTCTGTTTTCTCTGTTGGTTTTTTTTGTTTTTTGTTTCGATATTTATTTATTTATTTATTTATTTATTTATTTATTTATTTATTTACAGGTTTTATATTCCGCCCTTCTCACCCCGCAGGGGACTCAGGGCGGATTACAGTGTACATATGGCAAACATTCAATGCCAATTTTTGACATACAAACATATACAGACATACACAGAGGCTATTTAACTTTTTCTGGCCGCCAGGGGAGCTGTCGCTTTCATCGTCCATCTGCGACGCTGATGAAGTACTTCCGCATTCCCCGCATGCTTCCCCGCTGGAATGCTTTGCTGGAGTCTTCTTTTATGGCCTCATAAATTAGTTAATTTAGCCTCCCCACACTTTAAGGTGGTACCTAATTTTCCTACTTGACAGATGCAACTGTCTTTCGGGTTGCAAAGGTCGACAACTGGCTACACACAATTGGTTGGAAACCCACTCCAACCCGGGCTGGCTTCGAACTCATGACCTTTTGGTCAGAGTGATCTTTAATGCAGCTGACACTCAGCCAGCTGCACCACAGTCCCGGTGCCTTTGGTGCTTCGGGAGCTCATAACAGGAAAAGACCTCCCGGTACAAAAATTCACCCAACACAAAAGCAGGCAAGAGCCAATCTAGCTCCTCTGCTTTTCGGCATCACATTTCAATCTTTTTTATGAATCCCCAGCAAACAAAAGGAAACCCCTCATTCTCTGAAAACTACTCTTCCAGGAGGTAATTGCTCTTTCTTACCTGGAAGTGGGAAGCCTCCTTAAAATGCCTTGGAAAAAGTGCAAGGCTGCTGATGTGGTGCAGACCGGGAGAGAAAGCATGCGTGCCTGTCTGAAGCTGAGCGCCTCCTCTAGAGTAAGAAACAGAAAAGTTGCCTTGGAAAAGTGCATGTGGCATGTGTGGAGGCCCAGACAGCATGTGCGCCTGTCTGCAGCCCGAGCGCCTTCTCTGGAATAAAAAACAGAGACTTTGCCTAGGAAAGTGTATGTAGTGTGCAAGTCCAGGAAGCGTGCATGCCTGCTCGCGTCCAAGCTCCTCCTCTAGAGTAAGAAACAGGTAAGAAGCCTCCTTAAAGTGCGTGCCTTCCTGCAGAAGTTTAAATGCCTAAAATAATGGGAAGGGGAGCCTGGGGAGCCCCCCCCCCATTGGGTTTATAGAAAATTGATATTTTGGTGCCCCAGAGTGAAAACAGTCTCCCAAAATATGGATCAAGGCCCTCACCAAAAGCCAGGACATGAAATGCTTCAGAGTTTACCCCAAATGCACAACACTACTTGCAAGCTTTTTAATTTTAGGGAAATTTCAGTGCTATAATCTTGACAGTAAATGATGTAGGCTCATTTTCCTTATGATTGTCCATTTATCCCTATTTTAACATTAGCAATATTGCCTTTTTGTGCTCACTCTGCTTCTACTGGTTCATTTTTAATATGCTCCTCAAGAGACATTCAACATGAAGTCTTCCTTTACGCTCCTAAGCTTTATTACAATATTTCATATGCAACCGGGGGCTCATTCACACTGCAGAATTATAGTGCTGTTCTTCCACTTAACTACCATGGTTCCTCCCTATTGAATTCTGGGATTGGCAGTTTTTAGAGGAGGATTTAGGCTTCCAGTGCCTTAGCAAACAACAAGTCCCAGGGCTCTATAGTATGGAACCATGGTAGTGAAAGTGGAATTGCAGCACAACAATTCTGTAGTTTGAATGGGCCCCTTGTGTGCTGTGCCACAACAGAAATATAGGTAACATTACCACCTTAACTGCAGTGCAGTCCCTAATAAATTGACACTTCCCAAATCCATTTAGCATCAAGAGATTGAATTTATTCAAGCTATCTTGTGGAGTTTCTTTTGAAGAGCTTGATGCCGTGAATTGCATCCACTGGGACATTTGAACAGGTTGTTCCACTAGCTAGTTATTGCAGTGTTGTTATTGAGCACAGCTATGCTGTAACTAATGGAATTGATGATTTCCTGGGCATTACTTCTTCTTCAAAGAATGTGGTACCAGAGGTAGAAATAACATGGAAAGACCAAAAAAAAGTTCATCTTTCAGCACATTTTTTTCTCAATAGTCACATGTAAAATGAAATAGCAGGTCAGGAAGGCATTGAAATTTGAAAGCACATTCCAAAATGTATCTGGAAATTTGTTGGGTTTTTTTTTCAGCTTCCGCTTATGATCTTCATGTTAGTGGATAAATTTATGCTTTTTTAAACAGCCTGACCTCAGGACCCTCTAAACTGCTACATAATGCGGTTTGAGAATGCAGATTAACTGCATTGAACTAGATTATATGAGTCTATATGCTGCTATATAATTCAGTTCAGTGCAGTTAAACTTGGCCCTGCCATATAAAGCAGTTCAGTGCGGTTAAACTTGGCCCATTCTACACTGCCCACAATCCAATTTCAGGATGCAATTTGACTGCATTGAACTGGATTATATGGCAGTGTAGATCAAGCCAGTGTAGAATCATGTAATGCAGTTTAAGGTTAAAGGTAAAGATTTCCCCCTGACATTAAGTCCAGTCGTGTCCGACTCTGGGGTGTGGTGCTCATCTCCATTTCTAAGCCAAAGAGCCAGCATCGTCCATAGACACCTTCAAAGTTATGTGGCCAGCATGACTGCATGGAGTGCCATTACCTTCCTGCAGGAGTGGTACCTATTGATCTACTCACATTTGCGTGTTTTCGAACTGCTAGGTTGGCAAAAGCTGGGGCTGACAGCGGTAGCTCACACCACTCCCTGGATTCGAACCTGTGACCTTTTGGTCAACAAGCTCAGCAGCTCAGCGTTTTAACCCACTGCACCACTGGGGGCTCCAATATGACTACACTGAGCATATAATGCAGTTTCAAACTGCATTATGTGGCAGTATAGGTGGGGCCTGTGTTTCTCTTTCACATCTTTCCAATACCAATGCTTCTTAAAAACATCCAGTTTGACAGAGGATGAGGATGGAAAGTAGGGTTGGTCTGGTAGAAAAGGTCTTTGTAAAAAAGGAGCTTATTTCTCAGAGACATTGCTAAATGGTATAGTTGTATTGGGAAATGGCTCCCCTTACAGTGCTACATGACAGTAATAATCCCTCTCATATATGCAAAGAAAAGTAGATTAAAATTATGACCCTCCTGAAGGTTGATAAACATCCAGTTTCTGTAAACTCTAACCAGATACAACCACTGGTGACGTATGGGGACATGTTCATCAACATCTATCTCAGTGTTTCTCAACCTTCCTAATGCCACGCCCTCTTAATACAGTTTCTTATGTTGTGGTGACCCCCAACCATAGAATTATTTCATAACAGTAATTTTGCTACTGCTATGAATTGTAATGCAAATATCTGATATGCAGGATGTAGTTTCATTCACTGGACCTGATTTGGCACAAATACCCGATACGCCCAAATTTGAATACTGGTGGGGTTTGGGGGGGGGGGGGGATTTGATTTTGTCATTTGGGAGTTGTAGTTGCTGGGATTTATACCTATAATCAAAGAACATTCTGAACCCCACCAACGATGGAATTGAACCAAACCTGGCACACAGTTCTCCCATGACCAACAGAAAATACTGGAAGGGTTTGGTGGGCAGTGTCCTTTGGTTTTGGAGTTGTAGTTCACCTACATCCAGAGATCACTGTGGACTCAAACAATGATGGATCTGGACCAAACTCTACAAGAATAATATGCCCAAATGTGAACACTGGTGGAGTTTGGGGAAAATAGAATCTTGATATTTGGGAGTTGTAGTTGCTGGGATTTATAGTTCACCTACAATCACAGAGCATTCTGAACCCCACCAACAATAGAATTGGGCCAAACCTCCCACACAGAACCCCCACATGGGCCACAGCAATGCGTGGCAGGGGACAGCTAGTATATATATACAATGTAATGTTTGTTTGTGGGATTAACATAACTCAAAAACCACTGGAAATTGACACCAAATTTGGAACAAATACCAGGCCAACGAGTGACCATCACTCATAAAAAAAACCTGAAAAACACAGCAGAAGAGATTTTAAAAGCCAAAAAACAAAAATTACATTACAACGCATGTGCAAAACCTCATATATATATGCAAACACACATATACACACACAAAACACATAAACACAAGCTTGGCCACAGCAATGCATGGCAGGGGTCAGCTAGTAAGTTTATATTTGTTAAAATTGTTCTTCATTTTAATTATTGTTTTTAAGTGTTTTTTGCACTACAAATAAGATATGTACAGTGTGCATAGGAATTCATTCTTTTTTCAAATTATAATCTAGCCCTCCAACAGTTTTAGGGACTGTGACCTGGCACTCTGTGTAAAAGGTTTGAGGACTCCTGGTCTAGAACATGGCCATACAGCCCAAAAAACCCAAAGAAGTAATAAATATGTGCACCCACGTATTTGTTCTAACACAAAAAATTGCTAGTGATACAAATCCCCTGAAGAAATATGGAGAAAATGGGGGGGGGGGGGGGGAATCCTCATAATGAAGCCAAAACGAACAAGCAAGCAAACAGACCAATCTTGCATACCAACTCCCTACTACATAGTGCTTTATCATAACACATCTAATGAGAAGTCACAATTTTTGCAAGAGACCACAAGAGAGCGCTCTCAGATCAATGGTTGCTGCCTCGATGTGGTTTGCTTTTCATCTTGCGTTGTTTCTTTGAGGAATTTTCCTTGCAACACATTAGCTGTAACAAAATGCTTTCTTTCAATATACTAAATGATGCAG